CATGCATGTATATATTTAAGAAAAATGTTATGTTTATATATGAAATATATTATGTATAATATAAAATATAAGAATATAAATGTATATAGATGTAAATATAAAAAAAAAATAGGCTACTCTATGTGTGTGTATTTATATATACATAATAAATATACACAGTACACATACATATATTATGTAAACAAAAACTTTTATTTTGGAGGCGATTACTTGTTTGACAGCACTACTATAAATGTATTCAACGTCACGTTTGATCTATTTAATCTTTCTATTTTGACCTATTATTTTGAAAGTATACTGATATGATTTGCCACTCCAAACTAAGCAAAAAGCTGGTGATGTCTTTAAATTTGAATATATTATTGATTTTTTTTCCTCATAGGTGATTTATATGTTGAATAGCTTGATAAAATGGTGGTGATTGTGGAAATGACTGTGTGCAATGTGAAGGATGTTAACTAAACATTATACTATTGTGGTTCTCATAATATTTTCCCAAGGTCTGGCAATGCAGCAAGGCAGTAAATACAGCTTATGATTATGATAATGATTGTGATATAAGGATCTTGAAAGTCCATTCGTTGTTGGCATCATCTGCAGTCAACTCTGGGTCCAGACTGGTGCTTGTAAAGTCTCTAGTAACTTTAGGATGGACATCCTGCGATAGAAAGCTGACATGCTAGGCTATGAGATGCAGTATGTGACAGTTCGTCTGAAGAGATGTCTTTAATCTAGATTTAACCTGATAAAGTGTGTCTGAGCCCTGAGCATTATCAGGATAGCCATTCCAGAGTTTTGGAGCCAAATGTGAAAAAGCTGTGTCTCCTTTTGTGGGCTTTGATATGCTACGTACTGTCAATAGTCCAAACTTTTGTGACCTTAAAAAGTTTGACAGATTGTAGTGTGATACAAGATCGGTTATAAGGGACATCAAACGTTTTCCTTCTATAAATGTGATTTTTATTATTACAAATGACTCCTGCAAAACTGACACTATTCCCTGCTATGACTTACAGAGTTAATCATGTTGTGTCTTTTGAGCAGAAGCAGTATGATATTCCTTGAATAGGTCAAATTTAACAGATGGTTCTGATCTGCTCGTGCTATAATGAAGTGCTGACATAAAAGTATAATCAAGCACAGAGCACAAAGCTTTGACATATGATCCTCTTAATCAGTTGTTACTAACAATTTTGAGTACGTCAAGCACTTGTTAACTAAATCTGCATAGTTTCCCTGCTGCACATGAACCTCACGTTACAGTGCCTGGACATTAACGCATCTCTGCTGTTCTGTGAGGAACGTTTTGACCTAATAAGCAGATACTAAGCTTTTTACCTTTTGGAAATGTATAAAAACTGTTTATGGATTTTTTTTAGAGGATTTGTTTAGAGAAAAGAGAAAGTCTTATTGTTATGGTAAAATATCCCTCATGTTCAGTTTGGGGTCTCAGAAACACTATTTTAATAGCTTGAAACATACACAGATTGACATTTCATGGTTTTTCCTAATTAATGATAAGTAAGTTTAAACATCATTTGAACTTGACAACACATTTCAACCTTCCTTCTTAAAAATGTTTTCATTGCTTATGTTAAGGGTGGCATAATAAAATATTATATCATAATAATATAGCTGCAATTAGGTTAGAGGATCTTAAGGAATTTGGAGGCAAACTAAATGATTAATTTGAATCCCAAACATAAAAAGTCAAATAAATCTTACAGTTTCAGTTATTTGATTGAACAGAATTTCAGTTATTACATTGTCTGTTTTTTCTTTATAAATACCTTTTCCCAAGGCCTCTTGAATTCTCACCAAATGAAACCTGACATCTACAAAATAATGTAATACATTTTTTTTTTGAGAGACAAACCAAAATTCTCTGTGCTATTTTTATAGAGCCTCATAATTGAATAAATATTTAATAAATAAATAAATATTGAAAAGAGAGAGTCATAATTGAATAAATATTTATTTTCTTTCTTTCTTTTTTCTTTTCTTTTTCAGATTCAGAAGTACTTTGAATTGCAGCCGCTGGCCCGAGGGAAGCGCTGGATTCTTGCAGGCAGCACAACGAACAACATGGAGGCCGTGAAGGAAAGTTTCAGTCAACTCATCCGCCTTTTGGAAGAGAAGGAGGTGCTACCTAGCAGGATATGATTCAATCAAACTTCAAAGTGGAAAGTGGGTTTGAAGTGTTGTTTGCTAAAAAGATTTTTATTTTTTTTTACTTCTTTTTCGAGACATAGATGCAAATTGCCACATGTTTTGATGAGCTGACTGACATATTTGTTACCCTCAGGTCAAGGGCCACACATATGCTGATTTAGTAGCAGGTGAACCAAAGTCCTTTAAAGAGATCAGGTTTTTACCATTATTTGTAAATGTAATTAGCTATTTGATAACCTATTTGTTGTTTATTAGTTGGTTGTCATGTGGTGTGAGTGTGGAATTTATGTAAATAATATATTGTATATGCATATATACATACAATATTTGTATGAACTAATCCATATTTCTTATAATGGCTCAGAATCTAAATAAGCATCTTTATCGAAGATGATTATATTATATTATATTATATTATATTATATTATATATTTTTTTTAATTCAGCAAATCTAGTGTCCATTGCACTCATTATTCTTTCTTCCTTTTAGGAGAATGTTACAATGTTTTTCTAGACTATGTGCTGAGTTTCTTAATACTGGTTATGTGTACTTGCGTTTAGATTTCTATCTCCAGATGATGTTGTTAATTTTGTTGTTTGAAAAGACCACACACCCCATTTACTTGGCACTGGCCAAGCTGTTTTCAGGTTTGAGCTGGAATACAAACTCTATCAATCAGTGTCGGCAACAGCTGCATTTGACAAGTCCCTGTCCGCCAGGCTTAAGCCCTCCAACTGTCTGTGGAGACTCCTCCCCGTCTGCTACCTCACTCCTCGCCCAGCCACGCTCTGCGGCCTCACCCGCTGCTTCCTGCTGGTATTATCCAAATTCCTCTCCACAAATTTAGATTCCTGACTGCGCACCTCTCTGATGTGTTATTTTGTCTCACGGGAGTAGTTTAGGACTCACATATGCTGTGTTTCTGTATTTATAGTGTTAACTAGGTTGTACATGTTTTGCCCGCCAATTGCCACTCGAGGTCTTATTTTTTGCAACAACAAAAAAACACATATTTGTACTGCCTTTAATTTGATTTGAGGCCATGTACCAGTTAGATGTTTCATGTGATCCTTTGTAAGTCCTCAGGGTAGCGCTTTACTGCAGTTACATTTTAAGCATTTAGCAGATGCCTATACTATAAGGTTTAATTCACTAACATTAGCCAATGCATTAGGTATCACAAACTACATATTGGATAGTTTTTACAGCATTTATTAATTTAGGTGAATGTTAATTTATACAGACAATATTTGAAATGTTTGTTTGTAATAAAGTAACTTGTTAATTTATAAAACTTGTGAATTGTTAAATGTTAAAAATTTATTTGTATATGTGGAAATTAAACATTGCAAATATTAACCTTCACTGTTATTATATTATTATAAACTAATATTATATAATAATTTATTAATGGCAACACTTTTGAATAGGGACCAATTCTCACTATTAACTAGTTGCTTATTAGCATGCCTATTATTAGCATATTGGCTGTTTATTAGTACATATTCTACATCCTTAATCCTAAACTTAACATCTACCTTACTAAGTATTAATAAGCAGCAAATTAGGAGTTTATCGAGGCAAATGTAGTTAATGGTTTGTTAATAGCGAGAATTGGACCTTAAAATAAAGTGTGACCTTATTAATAAATGCATTAAAAGTGTTGATCATAGCTATTACATCCATTTGTAAAGTACCACCACCTCACAATTGAATCTTATTGTAAATATGAAATGATTTAAAATGATTAATTTCAGACAATGGCACGTAAGTGTAAAATACATCTGATATGCTGCTGTTTTCATGCCAATAGTTTCTCAATAGTTCCACCTTCGTCCGGCAAAATCAAAGTAACCCAGTAAAATAATCAAAGTGTACATCATATCATTGCTTCCCCATCTAATCTCTGCCTCGAACCCAAATTTTATGCGCTTGCGGTCTGATGTAGATAAAAAAAGGGAAGTTAACGTTTCTCAGACAGGGCTCCTGATCCAGCCAGGTTTATTTTTTTCTTCCCTTCTTTTCAAACTACCCACGTTGCTTTAATACAATGTCTGTCACGCAGGTTGCCCCTGCGATTCTTTGATCTGCTCTTCCTCTGTCTGCGGCTGATGCTCCTCTCTAGTCTGCTGCTCTTGTCTAGCCGCTCTCAGAGAAAGCCCTTTGCCCTGTCTTTCTCGGGCGCTCTGCTTCCCTTTGGTCACGCTAATGGAGCCCACCCTCAAAGCAGAAACGCTGCAAAAAAACAGTTCGGCCTGTTAGAATTGGCCCGTCTGTCCTCCGAAGAGGCCCACAGACCGATTGCACAGGCCCTAAGGCCAGGAACTTATTAAATGCCCCATTCCTCCGCTTGGTGCGACATCATCTGAATGTCAGCAATGTAATTAGATACACGCCGGGACACCTTGCAGGTACCGAGACAAACACATCCCAGCTTTTTTGTTTTGTTTTTGGCTTCAGTCTTGCTTTTTACACCACCGAGAGCTCTTAAAACCCTCCCACATGGGATGTCTTTTATAATACCAGTCTTAGCTCCATTTGCATATCGTTTTCTCGCTTGGCTCAGTTTCACACTTGCTGTGTCTAGACAGAGATTATTTTTAGTTCCTTAGCAGGAATTCACCAGCAACTGACAAAGACTTGGAACAGAGCGTGGAGATCTTTGTTAGAATGACTTTTGAGAAGGAGGGGAAACGCTTTTGCTTGATTTTCCTCTTGAAAGTCTTTTCCCAGTTGTGTTTGCTCAAAGGCCAAAGCTCGCCTCATCATTTAAGTCCTCACAGACTGAAATGGTAATGCATGACTCGTCGGGGAACCTTTTTGTTTACAAGGAAAACAAAGCCTGTTCGTTGGTGTTTTCTCAAACGGCGAATGTTTTGCTCTCCCTCCGTCCAAACAGCCTAGTAATCTCAAACTTTCCCAACCTGTTGAAGGGGTTTGCCCTTGTGGAAATGCAACAGATGTTCCCTTGACATCCATCTGGTCCTCGTGATCCAGTACCGTGCCACACTGTGAAGGGTTTTTCTTTTTTAACAGTTTCAGCTTGTCCTCGGTCAGGGGGCCGATCTCCCACGCCTTATGCTTGACTGGGATACGGTGCCACCGGTGAACTTATTCAAAGCCCCGGGATTAAAGATAAACACAGTAGTCTCTCCCATCCTGAGTCAGTCTTGACAACGGGACTCGTAACAAAAGCCAGTCGGCGAGATCTTGTTTGTGTTCCCGTATTTGTGTTTTGGAGAGAGAAGGAAATTGACATACGGCCACGGTTCATTTAAAGCTGTTTTCCTATGCATGTCAGGCTTCTCAGCATGGCACCACACACCTTCTCACTTAAGCAAACAACATGTGTGAGCTATCAGTGATATCAGTTGCAGTGGGAAACTCAGATAAGAACAAATTATTAAAGGATTAGTTCACACGAAATTGTAAATCCTGTCACGTATCCATCCTCCAGGTTGTTCCAAACCCATTTTATTTTTATTTTTGTATTTTGTGGGACACAAAGGGTTAAAGTTTTTTTTTTGTCCTATTTAACTAATAAAAAAATGTTAAGGTTACACTTTATTTTGATAGTCCACTTTAGATATTCTACTAACTAGGGCTGTGCGATATTGAAGAAAAATGCGATATGCGATATGATATTGCTTAAAGTGTGAAAAATCCATTTAAATTATATTTTAAAATATTTAAAAATTAAAATTATATAACCAATTTGTTTCACATTCTTTCTTGGAAAAGAAAGAATCACTACGACTTCTGAAAGTGACCAGCAGTGTTTTAGCATTACTTAGCATTAAATCAGAAAATGTAATTTTAACATCAAAGTGAACATACAAACAAAAATTCAGAGGAAATGTGTGGGTTTTTAGAAGTTACATGGGGCATAATGGTCATTTGTTTTCCCAGCTGTAGGTTAGAGCAAATATGTGGCGTGGGCTGCTGGCCGGCTGGCAGACAGGTTGCTTTCGTGGCCTTGAGTGCCTCCCCTCTCGTCAGTAATTCATCATGTTGTCACAGAGTTATGTAAGCGCTGGGTTGGAATCTGAATTCATCAGGAAGTATGGAAGTGTGTTAGAGTAATAAGTGTGCTTTACCCAGGTGTGAGTGGACATTGCTTGGTCATGTCGGGTCTTGACTGCAAACAAAATCAGTACAGTCAAAACAGTGCTTCCCACAGGTTGTAGCCGGGTGGAAAATCCTCCTATTACCCACGGCACACAAAATGGTCTACTGCATGTGACAAATAACAAATAATGTGTGATTTTTGTAACTATATTTTTATTTATTGAAATTAATTTTAATTACATAGGCTACTATTACATTTAATTAAATAATTCTATTATGCATTATTATGCATTGTAAATTATGCAAAATTACAGCATTTAAATGGTAAAGACAGTCATATAGTGTCTCTCTCAGTGAATGGGAACCAGATTTTACTGATACTGGTAAAATCTATATGTTGAATAATATGTGTCAAATAATGTTCTTTGGATTTTCTTCCTGTGGGGAAGGATCCCAGCCAGAAACTACAATCGTTTACTGTGAATTGAATGGAAATTAAAGTAAATACAATTTATTGTCTAACCGAAATACCAGTAATGCCCAGAAAAAATAAAAATAAAATAAACTTAACGTGTGACTTTTAATTATAAACAAGCCCGAAATACACCGGGACTGTTATTTTGAAATGTCTATACTATTGTGGGCTGATCCTTCAGATGAGAGATAAAATATGCATTCTTACAACTTTACATTAACATATTATATAAAGGTCATAAAATAGACGTTGTCATAATTCATCAACTCGAGTTCATAAGCAATCGCTTGGCATAAATGTGCGCTATTCATTGATTGAGAATCACTTTGAAGCAGTCTGAAGGGCAGTTGCACGAGCCTGTAGAACGTGTAGCCTTGTGACACTGCAACGTGCAGCGCTATTTTGTTTTATATATAAAATCATAGCCTTTTGAAGTATAATAATCAATAGGCTGTATTGCGATTTATGTTTTTCCATCCTCAAAATATAAGACGTCTTAAAATGATCAAGACATTTGTTTTACCATTTCATGTATTGAAGACTTTTTTTATTACATTAAATTTAAGAAAACTCACCTGGAGGGATTTTACACACACATTTTACAGTTCGCACACATCTATTTTTAGTTGCAAATGCGACTGAAGTGCCCGCACTGTCGAGCCCTGACGTCTGTGAAATATCCACCGCCTCTCTGCAGCGCATGTGGGAATGTCACGAGCAGATATGAAACGTGTAGGGCGAGCGGAGATTTTCCACTAGTTAATCGATAGCGGATGGTTTCATTATTTCGGGCGGATAAAAAAAGTATAAGAGGATAAAAATAATTAAAGCAAAAATGTTTCTCCAAATATACTTGGGCGGCCGTTTATATACCTGGGCTGCCCACCGAAGTAAAGTCTGTGTGGGAAACACTGCAAAATGACAATAGGTGAATATTTCTCACTGATCTCTGGTTTCAGTGGGATCTTTAACACTGATCTATTTTCCTCTCATGTGGGAATCTGCTCTACAGATGGCCTTGTCATTTTTAACAATTAAAGGGTGGCCTAATAACTTTTAGTTGATTAGTAGTGCATTTCATAGTGTGAGTTCAAGTAGGTTGCAGTAGGTTTCTTAATGCAATGGATTTTAATAGACATCAACTTAGGGCTCGCAAAATTTCAAAATCCCTGGTAGCCCTTCGGGCAGGTATTCTTCAGATTTTGGTTGCCTAAAATGAATTTAACTAGCTTGAATAAAAGAGACAACAACTGAACTTCACTGCAGACAACTT